GTAGGCCAAAGGCGCTGGGAAGGGTTTGAAGCCGCGGGGGAGGGCAAAACCTGGGAAGGGTTTGCAGCCGCGGGGCAGGGTTTGAAGGCGGTGCAAAATGCCTAACGTCGCTTTTGGAAGCCCATAGGAGCACGGGCTGCACGTTCCAGGGCTCTCTCCCCAGGCTCCCGCCTGACGCAGGCAAGGCTGCGATGCAGGAGTAGGCCAAAGGCGCTGGGAAGGGTTTGAAGTCGCGGGGGAGGGTTTGAAGGCGGTGCAAAATGCCTAACGTCGCTTTTGGAAGCCCATAAGAAGAGAAGAGGCAGGCCTGCGAGCTGCCGAGAAGAGGAAGAGGGCAAGGCTGCGGTGCAGGAGTAGGCCAAAACGTCGCTTTTGGAAGCCCATAAGAAGAGAAGAGGCAGGCCTGCGATTAGAAGAGAAGAGGCAGGCCTGCTGCCGAGGGGTTTGAAGACTTGGCCAACTGCTTCACCCTGCGGTGTCCCAGGCGCCTCCCCGCCTAGGCTTTGGCTATAGGCCGGGGTCGGCGGATATACTAACTTCAGAATGTCCCTCTGCGATAGCTGCCGCTGCAGCTACCAGTTAGTTTACATCTGGTTACATCCCAATTTCGCTCGGACAACTACCAATCAGAGACTCATTCCCTTGATAAAGGAGACTGCCACCTCAAGCTCTGTTCTGTTCTGGCATTTGGCTACCAATCAGCAATAGGCTCATGGCTCATGCATGCTCATGCTATTTTTCCTCTCCGATCCAGTGCATCAATCTGAGCTTCCAAGGTGAGGGCACCAAGGCTGTTGGGCACCAAGCTACCATGGACTATGACCACAGACTAAAATCAAAGCGTGCTCTCTCTTCCATAAACTTGTTTTTTTGTTTTGCTGGTGTTTTAGGCTTATATATTCTGTTCACGTTTTAGACCTTGAGGCCAGTCTCTTCTCTTCATTATTCTTTGGACCTTTTATCTTCTTTGGATCCTTTATCTTCTGCACCACAAGCCATAGATGAGCTCTCAAGGTTGTTGCAGGCATGAACCCAATGGACTTGAAGCGCGGCATCGATGCGGCTGTGAAGCTTGTCCTCGAGGAGGGCCATGCCTTTGAGCCAATCTTCATCGTCCTGGCCCGGCTGTCTTTTTTTTGACACCCAATTCCTTTTTATCCTGACCCTCTCAGCTCACTGGCATATAATCTATTATAATCTTATGTTCTCGCTTCGCCAGTGGACTGCTATTGTTCAGTGCTCTTTGGTAATCCCCGTGTTCTCTGTAAATGTTTGTGTGTCCTGCATGCACGGGAGAATCGCACTGATTTGTTCTGTTGCCCCATGTGCACATCCAAGAGAAGTATATGTGTTTCCTCCTCCAACAGTTTACTGCTGGCGTCTTCTTTGAGAACAGGCTGCTTGGTTGGGGGGTTGCTTCTTGGGCGACACTGTGCCATGGGCTGGAATACCAGCGCAACGGCTCTGGGCAGTTTCGTGGATCTGCGACTTGGTTTGCTACGAGAGCGGCCAGTGATAGAAACGAACATGTCTAATCTATGTAAGCAGGAAAGGAAGGAACACGTCTAAAGGAATAACGGAAAGAGCATAGTAGTACTGAACACCATGCATGACGCCAGGGAATGGGGAAACAGTTTTACCAACAGCCTTTCTTTCTTTTCTTTTCTTGCTGGACCTCTAGACCGTTCGTACCGTTCGTTCATTCTTTCCCGTTTTCAAGGGCCATGCAATGCAAGATCACCTTCCAGTTCTCGTGGCTTCCCGTGCTGCTTGCGAGTGAAGTATGTATGGAACATCCTGTAAGAGGAGGAAAACACATTTGTACATTACAATTCGGCATACTCCAAAAAGCAACATGTTCCCCACAGTCTTCACCAGCATTTCCCCTCATATCCTCACGTGCTACTATCTGCCCAAGACACAGATCTTTGACTGACTTTGTAGGAGCTTGAAAAGATATCGAAGCCAATTTCAAAACCGTCAGAGATTCAGCAGGCTGGATCTCGGCAATGCTTGTGCAAAATGGCAACTCTTTGTACCAGGCATCATAGGAAGGCGTTGTGGCATGAGCAGGTCGCGACAATCTCTGCCAATGGAGATGCTGGCATCGGAAAGATGGTGGCCGATGCTTTCGAAAAAGTAGGGAAGCAGGGAACCATCACAGTGGCGGAGGCGCATGCAGCAACACAAAGAGATAGCTTTGACTGACCCAATCATCATTCCGTACATACAGCGCAACTGAATCAATGCTCTGCAGTTTTGTTCAATTGCGATTGGAGTTCATGGCAGGGCAAGACCCTGGACCACGAGCTTGAAATTGTTGAGGCATGTGATGCTTTCAAACAGCGGCCAAGTAAAGAAGACCTTGCAGGGAAGATTTTGACGCGTGTCACTTCTTCAGGGGATGAAGATTGATAGAGGCTTTATCTCACCGTACTTCATCACAGACACGAAGGCCACGTGCTGCCCTTTGCAAGGAAGTCATGTTCATCATCTTGAGTTGGTAAACGATTGTAAACGATTGTTGCAACGGATAAGCACAAATAGTTCATATGATTCATATCATATGAATAATATGATATAAGAAATTGTTGTGCACAGTGCCAGCAGTTGGGTCCAATGCTCTGTTGCTACTTGACAGATGCCTTGCTCCCTTAATTACTGTCGTTGTGCTATTGTGATCTTTGTGTGTCTCCGAGGCACAAAAAAGCGTGCTTGCAAAGCCTCTGGTTCTCATCTATGACAAAAAGATATCCTCCGCAGCGAGCTCAAGTGGGGTTTTCCTAGTAATGACATGCTAGTTCGACTTCTATTCAGCAGCTTTTCTTGAGGTTCAGAGCATTCTCCCCATCCTGGAGCACGCTGCCAAAGCCCAGCGACCGCTACTAATCATTGCGGAGGATGTAGAGAACGAGGTGGGTGAGTTGATTCTATTGAGCCTGAAAGCGGCTGATCCTCAACACACACATTATCCAAAATACACCAACCAGTTGATAGTTTGGTATCATGCAAGCCAATAATATACACAATGTCACAATGTCTAATAACTACACCAATTCCAAAATTGTTCATTTTGGAATGACTTGGTGATGTGAATACTATATAAAATTACATGGACACTCTGCACATGGAAGGCTTTAGCAACGATGATTGTGAACAAGCTCCGTGGGGGGTTGCAGCTGGCAGCAGTCAAGGCATTCTTCCATCCTGTGCGCAGTGCACACTTTTCCGCACCAAGACCAAGCAGCAAAACATGGTGGAACGCTGGTTGTGAATTTCCGCATTGGTGTTAAATATGGTATGTTGAATCTACATTCTCACCTGTCCTATTGCTCCTGGCCCAAGCGTTGGAACTGAAGAGACAACACCGTGAGTTTACAGGGGAGAAGTCAGTGAAACGACATGGGAGACCACTGGGGACCACATCTCCTTCTAGCAGGGCAAATTGGTAGGTAGCGCAGATGGGAAGCAATTTGCCGACCCACCCCCTGCCATACCTTGCAACTTTCACACTTTCTGATGCTGAAAGCTGTTCAAGAAAGAAGGTAGGCGGCTCGGAGTTTTTAGAGCAAAGCTTCATTGGAACGCCATGGCTATGCAAAATCCATGGCCATGCGAGGGCATCCATTGGGCGGATCCAGTACTCAACAGCTGGAAACTCCGCATGGAAGGTGCTGGTCTTCGGGATTGGGTGCAAGTCGAAAGTGCTGTCAAATACTATACTCCCTGTACCATTACTATTTACAGTCTATCAGTTTTTTAAACCGACACGGCGTGGCCCCGTCGCCCATTCTCCGTGGTTTTGAGCCGTCCACATCTTGGCAAGGTATGAAGATGCTTAAAGGTTTGGCTGATGTTTCAAAATGTTTCCAACAGGGTGACAAGCATTGCATTCTTCCAAACGTAGAGTGCATCAGAATTCGTTGCCCTGTGTGGGCCAGCAGCTCTTGCTGCATACAATGACAATTACCAGACCTTACCATCATGTCCATTCAAGAAGACATTAAGGGCCCAAAATGCCAAGAGATGACCACGGTGACTAGAGACTGGAGCGTTCACGAGGTTTGCTACTTGCCGGCAACAAGGTTCACCAGCCCACGGTTCCTGTGACTAACACCCCCACAGCCAGCCATTTTCCCATTCATTCATTCCTACATCAAACCAGTTTGGGTGTAGAAGCTTTGGCGGCCGGCTAGCAGCGGTGATTTGTTCAACTTTCCACAGAAGGCTCCTTGTTGACATTTGCTTGAACCTGCCAAAGGTTTGTCTTCAAGCGCTCTGCACAACTTGGAGAAGGATGTGCAGCGAAAGTGTACGAGGGGCGGGACCTCGAGTCCGGCCAGTTTGTGGCGGTCAAGGTGTACAAAGACATTGGAAGGACAGTGTTCAACACTAGAGTATGCAGAGGATGTAGCTGGACTTCCCCTCCAGGACAAGCTTGCATTGCTTTCACAATGCCATTCAAGTTGGTAAGTTGCTGAATGGCAAGAGTGGGAAGAGATTGCAAGACCGCACTGACAGAGGCATGTGTTGGAATGCTTCCTAGCAACTTGCACGCGGCTGTTTTGTAACGTGCAATCTGTGCTTCCTGTCTTCTGTACTTCTCTGATCTTCTCTGGGCAGGTCTTTTTGTGGAAGTTGTGGCACATTCTGCGAACCATGGTGTTCCTGGCCCCGACTTGGGTTTTCTTTTCCACATTTTGGAGCTTGGTGGACCGTCATTGGATCCTTGGAGTCTTCGGGGGTGGCGGAAGCGGTATAAGCCATTCTCTAAAGGGAGCATGACTTCCAAGGCATACTTACTAATAGCTGGTAAAGAGGCATTCTTGCTAGCCTATCATAAAACAACAATGGAGGTTTAGACCCTAGACTCTGATTCTAAGGCCTTCAAGTAGTAGGTAATTGCAAGTGCTAAGGACTGTATTCTGAGGCGTAGGGACAACAGCGGTCTTCCAATCTTTCTACCTGAAATCTCTGTCCAGGAAGATGTTCTGGCTACAAGGTACCGCGATGCATCAGCGCTCTCGATGGCAGAACTTCGCGACTTACATTGGTCCCTATTCTCGATGGCCTATAAGTTTCCCGGCTGACTAGAGGCCACGTGAGTCATAAATCCACCAAGACAGGGGCTGCCTGTCAAGTGGCAAGGCTGGAATCTCTGAATCTCGTTCACCTCGACATCAAGCCATCGAATATTGTGAGCTTCCCACAGTCAGGCTGGGCTGTTTGAGCACCCACATGCCTATGCCAATGGCTTTGGTGAAGGAAACCCACAATGGAAGCTGGTCGACTTGGCACTGAGCTTATGTACAAGTTCAATATGCAAGTATTAAAGCCCGTGCAATGTTATACACTTGTCATACTTTGCGACCCGCAGAGTTGGGCTGTCCAGTACAATTACAATTTACATCAATTTACCAATCGCCTGTCGTTTTAAACTTTGGGTTTTTGCCGTTGAGGTGTCTCTTCCACCCCTCATTGTCAGAAGGGAGTGCGCTATGGTTCATAGGCCCTAGTAGCGTCCTTGCTCCTAGTAGCGATGCCCTTTGCTCCTAGAAGCTTCTTGCTCCTAGTAGCGATGCCCTTTGCTCCTAGTAGCTTCTTGCTCCTAGTAGTAAGGCCAGGAGCCCCTAGCAGCGTCGAACACAAGTGTCTTGCTTGGTCGCCGAGGATTGCGTGGTACCAGCTGGAGCCGCTCGATGTGTCACAGAACTACGGAAGTGCTTTCAAACGTACCACACCCCTCGGCTAAAGAAACCTCCCGCTAAAGGTTCATGCCAAGTAAGCTGCAACATCTTTAAAACATCACTTGTAGTAGCGTCCTTGCTCCTAGTAGCGGTGCCAGGAGCCCTAGTAGCTTCTTGTTCCTAGTAGTACGGCCAGGAGCCCCTAGTAGTGTCCTTGCTCCTAGTAGAAGCTGTGGCCTGTTTGCAAGAGGGTCTGAACTTTGGACTTTGGAGACTTTAAACTTCATAGCACTGCAGATGTCCGCTGGACATATGAACGGCCACCAACGTGAAGGGACAGGTATCAACGAGACGTCTCTGATAAAGAGCCTTTGTGACACGCCACATTTTGACTTGGAATTGTGTTCCTGCCATTTTTGAATGACCCGAGGCCGGTGAGTTGAATTCAAATTCAGCTACCCCAACTGTCAGCCTGTAAGGTTGTCACGAAGTTTGGGGATATTACTTTTACGCCAGCATACATTGCGCCCGAGCTTGCTCGAGCATACCTACGAGCAGGACCAGGCCAAGCCAAGCATTGCCCAGTCTCTCAGCATGAAGAGAAAAGCCACATAAGATGATTGTCCTGCATTTGGATTCTGATTTTCTTCGTAAGCTTCCCTTTGTGCTATTTGTGCTTTGTTGTTTTCTGGCTGGTTCTCCGTTTTGATGACCACTTAGACTTCAATGACCCACACAAGCCTCTTAGGATTTCCCAGTAAGTATGCCATCGATACAAGTATAATATAATACACTATAACTAATATGGTCTACTAATATAATATATATAAATCAGCTTAATCAGGCCTACCAAACTTCCCCTCTTGGCTAACCAAAAAGAGTCAAGTTACGCTTTGAGCATCGAGGTCATTTTGACTCCCGCAATGGATATATGGAGTGCCGGGATTTGTGCGCTGGAAGCTGTGGTTCTAGCTTCTCTCCTCACGGACCAGTACATAAAGCTTCAAAAAGAGATACTCAGATGTAACCATTCCTGTTTGGAAGTGTTGCCATTGCTCTTAGAAGAGAGCACCGCTTCATAGCCCGCTACCGGCCAAGTGCGAAACAAGGACGGGGAGCGATCACGAGTTTCTGAAATGGCTGGGGGATGTGGATGAACAACTGTTCTCCAGTGGCGTGATCGAGTCCCTTCGAACCGTGGATGCTGCGGCTGGGCGGAGCAATCAAGAAAACATACAAGCACAACATCATTTCACCATAGCCCTTCGCCCGACAAGCCTACTTCTTGCTAACCTCCAGGCTTTTCCTCATGCTGCCGTATCCCAAGGACATGGCACGCCTTTTGGTGGGCACCTTGACCAAGGACAGTTTGCCATGGTTTGATAGTTGATAGAAGCAAGAGTTCAGCAAGAGCCAGGTTTGCCACCTTCATGTGATGGCCAGGCTGATCACCTAGTAAAGGGGTCCCGTGAGGACAATACCAGGAGGCTGAATGCAAAGGATTGCTTGATGCACCAGTGGCTCAGGCCCATCAGCGAGGCTGAATGCATGTCGTAAAGCCAGTAAACACATTGTTGAAACGACCGACTGAAGCCCATTTCCACACAGTTTAGCTCCGCGAGGCAATGCGCCAGAAAGCATCGTCGTCTAGGTCTTTGATGGCTCCTACCAGGTCGCAGTTGCACATGCTGGAAAGGAAGAGTGACACAACTTCATGTAAACAAAGCACTGCTACCGACGAGCCTGTGGTGCCCGGCCAGCACTATGATGACCTGCTGCATGATAGCAGATCCTCGCCCTTGGGGCAACAGAAAGGCCTCTTTGCAGATATATGCTTGTAACATGGCGAGAGAAACCAAGGTCAAGCCCATCAAGCTGAACAAGCCATTGAAGCAGTCAACCAATGAACAAAGTCCCGACGTGGCCAAGTGGACATCATCAACATGCGAGACCATGTGAGCAGAAGTCCTTTCTTTCAACTTTTCAGGCAGCAAAAATTTCGTGGCTTGCAGCGGCCAAGCTGACTGGAGTGCTGCCAAAGAAGGAAAAGAACTCCGAACTCCACCATACAATTGCCATGCTACAATTTATGTGACCATGTTGCTGATACGGAGCCATGCTGTTTCCACTGGTAGAGGCTCCTGGCTTTGGAGACCAACGGAAGGCAATGCTACAAGATTTGGTCGGGGGCCCGAGGGCACTTGATCACAGCGCAGAGGCTAGCAAGAGGCAAGAAAAACAGGGCAACGAAAACAAGTGATTACTCTCTATAACGCCAAGGTCACTTGTCGGCCTTTGGTCTTGAACACAATTACTCCTTGCTAGTGTATGGATGCCACTAGAAGCAAGAATGCCGTTGAAAGGACGCAAACAGAGTTTGTCCCTGAACGAGCCAACAAATTGAGCAGGCAGTGCTTTGTGGAGCCGAGCTAGTCAGTGAGGCCGATTTGAGGGGATGCATTTGGCATTGTCAGACTGCATGTGTGCATCGCCGGCAGGAGACCGGACGGAAGCTTGATGAGACATTTGATGCCAGTTGGCTGGGCACTGTTTTGGACTAAGGGTTGATGTGTAGTGCGCAAAACTGATGCTCATTTCGGGTAGTACTGTAGCGAGTGAGTTGGCTTGTTTTGGGCACCTTTCACTAGTCATTCCCCTAAGCCCTGATATGCTTCGAGTTTGAGTTCGTGCTGAAGGCTGAGAACATTTCAGTCACAAAGGATGACACGGTGATCCTAGGCGAGGGCGAGGGCTTGGCTGCTGGATTGCAAATGGGTACAGTACTGATTTGCTTTTCGTTGCTCCCGAGGTGGTGGAGGCAACAAAGAAGACATTCAAGCCCGAACTGAACAGATTGAGGCCCAAAGATGATGGCTGTCCTCCAAAACTTGCTTCTCTAACATAACAATTTCTAAAGCAAATCTTTGCAAGTGCCCTTAGCCCAGGCAATAATGGAGGGCACAACCTCTCAATACGAGAAAGACAAGCTGAAAGAACGCACCTTCCTTGGCACAGCTGGGGCAAATGGACAAGAACGGCTCCAATTTGTCAACGCACACAAAATCCATGAATATGTTTGCCCGGCTGTATGATGCTTGGTGTGGTTCAAGTTCAGGTCTTGCGAAACTGTCCGGCGGTGTGGCAGTCATCAAGGTGTGTTTTTGTGTTCGATTGTTGTAGGAATTTCACATGTTTTGATCAAGCCCTTTGAACAAGCATAGGTCGGAGGGGCATCCGAAGTGGAGGTGGGAGAGGTCAAGGACCGCTTAGATGATGCATTGTGTGCCACACGTTTGTGGCCCAGATATGAGTGCATGTCATGTGATCACTTTAGTGAACAATTTCAAATCCCACATAGCTCCTGCCATCCTCAGGTGCTGCAGTTTCGGAGGGCATAGTGCCAGGAGGAGGATCTGCACTGCTTTATTGCTGACACCTTAGCCCAAGCAAAATGAGCACCTCACATAGATTCAGGTAAGAAAGGCAGCAAGGACCGTTCGAGATGCGATCCCAAGTGTTGTTTCCATCACTCAGGCTCACAGAAGCTCGAGGCAAGGTGTATTACTCTTCGATCGCTTAGGGCATTTCTTCCATGAGAAGCATCGTGCGCATAAGCTAGCCCGCTGCCGCTAGAGAGAAGACATTCAAACATTTGGACTTCAAGAAGCCTTTCTTTTTGGTTCTGTTCTTTCTTCATACTCTTTAAAGGTGGCGTTATCAAAGAGGCCGTTACCTTGTGTTTATTATGTCTTTCTCTTGGCTTATTTTTTCTCAGACCCTGGACTTGGGAAACTTTGACCAGAACGTGGGTAAGGACATCTGACATTTGCTTGGCAGTTGCTGCTATTCTTTGGAAAACTTGAATCCACGTGTGGAAAACATCAGAAAAGTGGGCTGGCTATTTGGCAGCCCCACTCAAATCCTAATTCCGGTATGCATCCCTAAGAGGACATTGTCAAGCACGCTTTGAAGGCGGGAGCTGTAGTTCGGGACTTGCTGGATTAAAACATACACAGCAACTGGATATATGATATATGTTTAGTTTTTGCTGAGTGTTTTTTGGTTAGAAATGCACCATTTTGCCATCAAGAGTGTCAGCCCCAGACACCTCCTGTACTTCTCTGAATTCTTTGGGGGGAAAATGTATTGTTTGGAAGTAGGTTGAACGATCTGGACTGTGTTCTTGTCCAGCTGCAGCCTAGTTGCCCACGAAGGAGGACGAGAGCAGAAACGCCAGTGCGGCAGGTACCGATCATGTCGATCACACAGAATGCAGGTAAAGAAGGCTCTGTCATTGTCGAGTACCTCCTCAAGAGCCTTTGCAGAACTGTTTCCTCCTCTTCACAAAAGCGCGAGCTTCTCTCCCTGTCCTTGCTTGCCATGTTCTGGGGACAGCAGATTTGATGCGTGTGTGAGACAAATCACACCAAGGAAGGGTGACGCCCAACTTGGGTACAATGCTGCGATCTCAGGCAATGCACCCCATGCCTTTGCAAGAATGTGCCCAGAAATGTTTCCAATGGGCCGTGCTTTGAATGTTTCCCAAGCAGAATCTGCTTAGCTTGCCAAGGCCCAGACACACGAGTATGTTGACATGATTGGAAGTGGCATCATTGTCGTGACCTCAATTGCGAATATCGTGCGCCCAAAGACTGTGACTCTTTTTGTCACTTGTTGGCGTGCTTTACTTTGTGCATGTTTTTCTTTTCAGCTTTGTCAGGATCCAACCCTTGTGGTCCGAAGTGCCCTTGCGGATGCCGCTTCTGTGGCATCACTCATGACAACAACTGAGTGTGTTGCCTTGACCTTAGGATCTTTGGCCACATGAGACAGTTGTTGTTCAATGTGGCTCAAGCGAGGTGACCGAGATTCCAGAAGAAAAGAGCAGTGGAGCTGGCGGCATGGGAGGTGTGGCCTGCAAGCTTGGCAGCTTTGCAGCTTGCGCCGAATGATTGTGCAAGAATCCTGCGATGTGTAAGCAAGAAAGCTTCGCGGAGACCGGAGACCCGTGATTCCAGGGAGTACACACGCACACACTTATATAGATAGAGAGCTCGCAAGAGCAAGAGTCAGTTTCGAGAATCCAGAGTTACTGCAATTAGACCTTTAATGCAAGTAGACCTTGGCTGAGGGAACAGAAAGGCGAAAGGTCCGAGGAACAAAACTGTTGAACATTTATTAGCACTTAACGGACAAATTGGAGTCACAGCTTAAGAACGCCACAAAAATGGACTGCAGGTACGTCGGAGTGATCAGCTCCGATATCCTCCCAACTCATGAGTAGCTTCGTTGGCAGTAGACTCATGAGCGGGCTACTGCCCCCTGCTGTGACTGTGACTGTGCAGTTAGAAGTAGTAAAACTTAGATACAAGGCTCGCAAGAGCATAGTTAATGTTGAATGTCCGGCGCATTAACTCTTTCAGTGGTTGCATTAGACCTTGATTCGCAGAACAGCACGGTGAAGGGTCAGAGAAAGTGAAATGTTCAACATCGCGCATTAGCCCTTTATGGAAACTTGGAGTAGCGGCTTGGAGAATATGCCGGCCACTTGGCCAGAGCTGGCCCAGTTCAAACCAAACTTCAGAAGTGTTTAAAAACATGGCCGCAAAGTACTGGATCGCAGAGTGCGCGGCAAATGTTAGGCCCTTCCGTCACAATCTCGAAGTTGTTGTTGTTGGCCTCATATCCAATGTGCTGCTCATACATCCTCACTAAGCTTCGTCACTTTCCGCCAGCACTCTGCACCATGTCCACGGCCCCCTGGTAGCCGAAATGTTGCGCGTTCTTTACCAGACCGCTCCTTTGTCCTGGACCCCCCTTTGGCAGCATACTCGGCCCCTTGTGTTCATGAAGAGGAGTTGTGAACTCCTGTCCGCTCGCATCGCTGCCATGCGCTAGGTGCCGAAGACGATAACATTTCGCTAGCTGATGAGTGTGACCTTCTGGCCCCACTGCGGGTGGACCACAGCTGAGAGTGCTCCGGAGAAATGCTGGCAGCTCCAACGAAACCATCGCCACTTCCCCGCATGAGCGCTGGGAAAATGCCGAGAAGTGGTTTTGGAGATCTCGAAACCGGCCACCAGTGTCCGGTCAGCGTTATTATTGGCCTGCCCTGGATCTCACATCATCTCTGAGGTGCAAAGTTGACATCGGTCATGGTGGCCCAGCCAAAAAAGTTCTGACCCTACCAGACCTTGCCACGCTGACCAGGTGCGCGATAGTTGCATAGTCCAGCAAAGCTGTGGAGGGTTTAGCGTAGCCCAGTTCTTCGGTGCCCTCCTTGTCCGCCATGCCGGATCACTGCCCACGAACAGGTTCACGATCACCCCATCCGCCCGTTCTATGGGCTTTTCGTCCTGCGGTTCCATGGCAGCTTGATTGGCCAGCTGCGCAAGTTGTCCTGGTGGCGCGTCGGAAAACTTCTTCCTGAGCATGTCCACGTGGATATACATTTGCGTTGGTCGTCCACTGTTTGACCCCTCTGCAGGAACCTCACGAAGGTGCCCATCTTCAGGTACTTGTCACTTATCGTGCAAGTAGTCCATCGGCTGAGCGGCATCCTTTTCTTTCACATACATACACATATGGGCAGTTCTGTTGGACTGTCACCTCAACTACCCCCACCGGATGCTTTAACTTTCTCACAAGCTCCCCAAGCTGTAAGATGGGTGCTATTTCATCCTTGGCCGATGCCGACTGTCTGAGCATGCATTCTCCGTGCTGTTTGCACGGGGGGGATGCTTCCAAAGCCGCCATCCACTCAGACTCCAATTTAGGCTTCCGAAGAATGTGAGTCGCTCTGAATTGAGTTAGGACCCCACATCCTTGGCCATATAGATTCACTTCTTGAATGGAAGGTTTCTCCGCCTGCAAAGATCGAAAGAGTGATGTATCCTTTTCCTTTTTCACCCCCCCATGCCGTCCCCGATCCTGAACCGGCCCCCGTCATCGGATTTAAGACAGTCCCAGAGTGCCCTTGAACTGTTATGGTTTCGCCCGCTTGCATCGCAGCTGCTCCAGTCACTATTACCTGTCACGGGCCATCTATCCATCTTATCGACCTTGAGGTGATCGCTCTTGTTACTGTGTCACTAGACTGCTTCCTTTCCACTGCGACTTGCTGGTTGTTCTTACGATGTTCCAAGGTTGAGCACGCATTGGAGTTCTGGCCCTGACTGAAGTAAGAGTGCGAATTGGTTGCTCACACTTAGCCCTTTCTGGTGTCGCCAAGTCTGGATACGTCACTTCGCCACCGCGAAATTGTCTCGCTTGCACGCCGCAGGAGCCCCCAGAAAACACACATAATATATATTTATAAATAAGCAGCGACAAAAACTTCCCAAGTATCAATTTGAAGAGAGGTTAATGTATTATGCCGTCGCGAAAGCAAAACATGCAGTCACGAAAGATTCGTGAAAGATTGTGCGAACGGTTCATTGGCGAAAGCTTGTCCAGGCATGCTTGGAAAAGTCTTGGTTGCCCACAGATGTAAGCTACTTGTATGTTTTTGTCGCCGTCGGCAAACATCATTCCATTATCACCATCCCGCCTGGAATCTGGCCTGCGTAGTTGATGCAAAATGCGGTGGTGCGCAAGTGATCCAAATCTGCGGTGCGCAAGTGGTCCCCCACGTGTGGTTGTTGTGGAGGAAGTGTTGTACGCGACGCTGGCCTGACGCGTTACTTTCGGAGGAAGTTTCGTACGAAATGCCAGATAGTAGCTTCCACAAGAGTGTCCGACAAGAGTGTCCCTGGAAGAGTGTTGTGCGAAGAGTGTTTGACAAGAGTGTTCCACAACCCTGTCCTGTAAGAAATTTTCAAAGAGTGTCATGCCAGATCGTCTTGGGAGAGTGCCTCGCAAGAGCGTCCAACATAGGTAACGCGGCGTAAAATTGCACTACCTTCTCCCGAGCACGAAAGATCCCCAGATTGAAACACGTATCGACAAATTTCACAAAATCCAGTTTCTTGGGCAAAATCATCAAGGCTCACCAAGCCTAGCCGCAAGCCTCTTAGGTTTTACTGTAGGTAGTTTTTTGTGCCTCAGTCTTTTTGGAGCAGTGGGCAGATTCCGCACATACGCTCTGCGAGCACCATGAGGCGCCATGAGGCCTAACTCAGCGCTCATGCTCCTCAGTTTGTGAAGCTTATTCTTCAGCCATCGCCCCCAAGATGCATTCACTTGGACGAGTGCGTCCTCCCATCTTGTTGCACCCGCACGCCTCCCCTAACAGATAGCATTGTGGTGTACTTCAGTTGGATCGTGCCAACTACTCTGGTCATTTTCTGGGTTCCAGAGTCACGCATGGGACAACTAGAGTAACTATATATATATATAGAGTTGTTTTGGCAGCCCCAGTGGCACTGACACCTGGGACTCTCAGCGTTTAATCAGCAAGTTCTTCACTTTGTTGACTTCAACTCCTTTACCGTATTTTGATTGGGTTGAGTGCAGACGAAGCTGTAGACCAAGTCGGCTCGCGCAGCGTCGCGCGCATGGAGTGGATTTGCATCTCCCAAGGGAGGGAGACTGCTTGGTTGCTTTTGAAGATTTGGCCGTTGGGGCGCTCTTTTGATTCAAGATGGTCTCTGGCGCATCGTAGGGCGTGGTTTCTCACAATCTGTGGACTAGGGCCTCTAGGGATCTCGTCCTTTGTGAGCTGTGGGAGGTCTGGCGTTGGTATTTGTTGACCTGTTTCTGGCTGGGGCTGGAGTGGTGGCCATTTAACAACCTGACGTTTTCTCATACTGATTGACAGTGTTTCCTACTCAGCACAGGCACACAGTACACTTATGAGATGTTTATAGCCACAGACTGGGTCAGCTCCAGTTGAATTGTTTCGCATTTTTTTGCTGTTTTTTATGCATTCTGATTTCCCATTGTTTTCGCTGTTTCTTTTTTTTGCTGTTTTTTGGGCGTTCTGTTTTGCTGTTTTTTTGCTGTTTTTTACTGTGTGTTTTCAATGTTTTTCTTTTTTTTTTTTGGTTCCCCTGCTTGCAGCGCTTGCAGCAGCGCAGGAGCCCCCTTGTATATAGATGCAATGTATGCTCAGTAGTAGTTCTTAGTTGCCCTATGCAGTGGCCCTACTACCAGGAATACCCAACACCAGCCGTCCACATAAAGCAAAAACTCTGCCTGGCATCCCCTGTGGTGTTGACTCATCCTCAAAATCCAGAATGGCAAAAGAATGGCACACTGTTTGACAACCAAAACAACCAACGTTTTGAAATGGCAAACAAAAGGCAAATCTTTATAAACCACCAAATTGCAGGAATAGCAAAAAATGACAAAAACTCGAGGATTTGCAATTTTTTTGCAATTTTTTTGCCATTCCAATTTGCCATCCCTCATGCCATTCCCAAAGGGAACCCCAATTCCACCAAGCGTTGTTTTGGCCATCCCTCCTTTTGTCTAATCTAATCCTTCCAACCAATGCAGGTCCTGTTGTTTCGGTTGTCTGGGATGACCGGGCGGCAGCCTGTCCCAATGTCTCCGAAATGAGAGTTGCCTTCCCAGATGTTCTTTACACTGAAGAGCAAAGATAAAGAACAAACCACATGGATGCAAACGCGCTTTAAGGCAACCAGCAACAAACACAAAGGACGTACTGTTGAAATCACCCACCAAAGCCACAACTCAATAACAATACAACACTTTTCCTCAGCAAAGGCGTCAGGCAGCAAAATCCACAATACCCAAAAAACACCCAAAAAATGCAAATGCAAAATGCCAAAAAAATAACAACAAAATAACGATAGCAAAAAAACAGCAAATGCAAACAGCAAAACAAAAAAACCAGCAACCAATTAATTCATTGGATTTCCAATCTCTGGCTGGTGAAAAATCTCATAACAGTACACGTATAATCGACTTATACAGTAATCATTTATTCGTGTTGAATGCGATGACCCTTTCTTTTCTATTGCCACCCCAACGGTGTTTGCAGATTCTTTGGTGCCCCCAGAAGGAGCAGTGTGCATCAGTGTGCATTCCTGACTCCTACACAAATTTAATACGCGGACCGTGGCAGGCATGGACGGCATGGGCGGCATGGGCGGAATGGGCGGTATGGGCATGGGACTTTAGCGCCCTTTGCCCCCCCAGCCTATCTTCAATTGACAAGTTTTCACTCATACTGCCAGCCAAATTGGCAAGGGCAGGGCTTTCAACACCTCAGAGCTGCAACAAGTTTCGCTTTGAGTGCACGCCGGCTGCAGTCGTTGGACAGTGCCCGTCTTGGAGATAAAGTGATTGCATACAGTGCTGGTCCCTCAATTTTTTAGCAATTGTTGTTTGACTTGCGCATATATATCTATATATATAAATATTGATTTATATGAACATATCGAGACAAGAGTCAGACAGCCAGCTTTGCCAGCCGACATGGCTTGCTGTTAGAGACCTCGAGATTGCATTCTTTTGCGGGAAAAGAGCTCTATCAGAGTCCATGCCGCTGGAGGTTGCGGGCACATGAAACGCTTGACCTTTCATAGCTGACGACTGAAAGCATGCAGGAAACAAAGATGAATGAAAGGCACAGCTACAATTGCCAAAAATCATAAGTTTCACTGTGAGTGCTGCAAAAAAGCAGCCGCTTCTGCGGAGCAGAAGCACAGAGCCAACCGGAATTGTTTCCAAAACGTTGCCACATGTTGCGACAAGACAAGAGGAACAGCTTTGAATTGATCCAGTTACGTGCATCGCTACTAGTAGCTAGAAGCTGACAAAAGAACACTTCAAGTGTTCGGATTATTGATTTTAAAGGCTCTATGAGAGCCCCGGCACGGAAAGGTTCCAAGCATCAGCACTGTGGGATTCTGTGCGCTGACGGGGGTCATCTCACGCATCGCCCTTTGCCACATTGCTCTACTTTATTGTTCAGGCCTAGATTTGCCAGCTCCAGTGCCAAAAATGGCATCAGATACACGTGGCATGGATTTCGGCCACCATTTGGATGGCATCCTCGAGAGAATGAAAGCTGATATACTCAGGGAACATGACCGGGAGTTGACGAAGACGAGGCTTCAAATCAAGGCTCTGAGCGGTGTCCTGGCTGATCATAGCGAGCAATGGCTGAGTTGAGAGAACGTAATCCCTAATGCCCTGATGCAGTTCCCCAAACCTGCGCCTGCGCCCTGAGTCTCAGTTCCAAATATTTGGCTGATGTCTCAACCGCACAGCGTGCTGCTTGAGGACGGAGTGTTGAATTTGGCGCGCTGGGGGCAGTGCCAGCTGCCAATCATGCCCGCAAAATGCTCATTCGCATGAGAACGGCAGATCTGGCAGCCCGCAAAGAGCACAGCAAAAGCTCGAAGGAAAGACCAGAAAGTTTAGCGAAGGCCCAAACTGTTTTAAATATGATTTCACAATTTGTAGGCTCAACATGCATTCTTGCAGTTCTGTAGTCTACTGCAAATTGTGATCAAATCTCCTCGCTCAGACTGATAGCCACAGCCGGATGACTTCGGCAAATTTACCTGATGACGTTGAGTCTTAGCCATGAGAATCATGTGAACCTTGTTCATTCATTGAATTGAGCAGACGAACTCTCCTAGCATCATGACGCTGGATGAACCGGTTTGCACATGGCCTAGGAAACCTTCATGGCCGTATCGACGGAAGAAGATGGTCCTCCCCCCCCGCCCGTCATCCAAGCAGCAGCTTGGCAATCACACATCTTACATCATCTCACAATGTGTTTTTGCTTTCTAGTGATTCCGGTTTCTAGTGCTTCGTCAAATTGAAAGACTTGCAGAGAGAGAGAGAGAGACATTGGAACCAATGCCCCGAAGGTGACCGTACTTTGAGAGTGGACAGCTAAGGAGTCTCCACGTAGCAGCTTGAGCTTCAATGGTGTCCGAGCAATTGTATGATACTAACTAGTAATATCTAGTTATATATGCTACCCCATACTACCGAACTATGCTCAGCTTACTTGACTATATTAGAGTTCTTCTGCAACACTCCTGTAAACCACTACGCAGTCTCTTTTTCAGACCGAGTCCCCTTTTGAGGCCCTATAACCCCAAAGAATGCATTCTCAGCATTCTCCTCAGAGCGGACTCCAAAACCGGCATTCCAGTCGGAGTCCTCTGTCCAGTTTGAGGAGACTAGTGCATCTACTGTTGGATACTGTAGGTATGAGTTGCTCGGTGGAGCTTGTTTCAAGTGTTGAGCCCTCTTTCACCGCACGGCCTGTGCGGCACAGGAGGACCTTAATCATGGCTCCTCGCCCTCCAAAAGCCTCTTGGTGTATGTTTGGACGGACTTCCGTCGAAGTTGTGGCAGGCTTTTTTTTAAAGCTTGAGCCTGAGCCAAGTCTATGGGGGCGGCCATGTTCTGTCATGATCGCAGTTTTGAAACTACGAGCTTTTTCCTTTGGACGGTAGTTAGTTTTAAGACCTAAGAGGTAAGGGCTGCTGGCCCACAACTTGAAACAACATGGAATCCGCAGGACTGGATCTGGTAGACAATGAATCAATCCTCCAAGGCAGACAGCGCAATGGGAACAGCCCATTGGAATCAAGCTCTGCCCAACTGCCTGGCGTGCCAGACAAGATGACAGATGAAGAGGCAGGGGCTCAGAAAGTGAAAGCAATTGCTGTGCATACTATACTCTTCATGTATGCTGTGTGTATATATATATATATTGGGTCTGTCCTATTGCCTGTAACAGTCAGTAAACAATGATCACTCTTTTTGAACAAGGCCTTTAGTAACCATCATCATCTACTGTTACTGGTAATAAGATAGACCAAACTTTGCATCGTTTCCTTTTGCCTAGGATAGGGAGAGACGACCTTCAGTGGGGAGCAGAGAAAGCCGCCCGAGCCGTCAAAGCGTGAACAGCACCATCAGCGTTCTATCCTTGCCATCTTTCTTCAAAGAGCAGGATGCTCAAGGGCCAACCGCTCGATGGAGACTCTTTCTGAAAGACGCGGACTCTAGCAGAGCGGCCAGCTTTTTTGCACTCGGTTGGAATGTCTTCATTTTGTGCAGTGTGTTCTTCTCTTTGTCACAGGCAGGGCGCAACAGGGCGCGGCGGTTTCTTGACACAACTGTTTGTAGTTCATTGGGCAGCTGAGCAGGCCGAATTTATAGTTAATAGAATTTTGATTTTTTTTTTGATATCTTATAGAATTTATATAATAGTCTTTGCTCATGTTCTGGCCGCTGCAACAGCACATTTGCGCAGACTAGACTTGTAGCTTCAATCGTGTCTGGATGGCGCGACATGCTAACAGTGGAAGGCGACGAATCCACCAATGGTCTCTGGTGCAGCAGCCGGACTTGCAGATGTAGCAATCGAAGGCATTTTTCTCCTTGAGTTTTTGGCTGGCATCCTGCTCGAACCTATCAAGATGGCGGCTTGGAGATTCAAACAGAAAGACAAGAAGGTACAGTAAGGGTCAGTAAGGGCCTTATTAAAGAGGCTCTTTTTTTTCTTTCTTTGGGGTGGCCCGGTGACTACGCGCAAAGCAGTTTAGTCTTCGTCGCCTGCAGCTTGACTCCGCGTGAACTCAAGAAAAGCGAGAAGACAAACACGAAGAAATACTGGTCGCACGTAGCTGCACTGGTTAGTGAGTTGACGATGCTGCCTTTGTCAGTTTGGCAGGAACACAGATGAGCGCACTGGATATGTAGTACATTTGGAATTACCCGGGCCAAACCAACACCAAGCCAATGCCAAACCAGCCCCAATTTGCTGTGCAGGTCGCACTTAGTTTATGGGCTTATGCCTACGGCCCGAGAACCGTGTTTTATTGTTTTCGAGATCATAGTCGTCATCATTGCCATCAGCATTTTCGTCGGTTCCACAAAATTGTCATCGGCTTCACAAGGTTGTCATCGAACGAGAAGGTGATTAAATTGGGGTGGCCTCAGAACTGTAGTGCTAGCATTGAATGAGGAGGCATGGGGGTTGAGAGTTGAGACATGACCCCTGTGGGGTGCACTGGGGGACTTCTTTCATCGCTGACTCCAGGAGAAACGGAAGACAACCCATGAACATTCCACGATATTCCACGCCAAACCTGTATATAACAACTCTGTGGCAAGAGCATGCTGCGCCGCTACCACCGCCGCGCCATTAGCCTTTCCCTTGCAAATCTCGCAAATTATAGTAGACCCTTTGGTGCACAAAGTTATTCTTTTCTTTCTGTTGTAACTTTTTATGGTAGTGACATGTGGCAATATCTGGAATCTGGTATTTCATTGGTTCACACACACACATATATTATATATATATATATGGGGCCCCTCAAAAATTCAACCCTTTTGATTAAACTTATTGGTATTTACAGCGTTTTATGCATATTTTTGGGTAAAACATTTAAAAACAAGCAATGCACTTTACAGTTCAAAAAAGCAAATGAAATACGACAAAAACAAAATATCCCCAATGACAACCAGCAACAAAATAATAAACCAAAAGCAAGCAAAAAAGCAAAACAACAAAAGCTTTGAGGATAATTTTTGGTTCAGCCTCAAAATGCATCAACAGATATTTTTTTTGTTGTCATTGTTTTTTCTTGTGTTATTTTGTTTTTTGAAGGTTTATGTATGTGCTTTGGTCCTTTGGGCTTTTGCACAGCCGGTATAACTTTATTGTACGTTGATTTAGATTCGATTTGAACCATAATCAAATTTTCAGTTATACATTATCATCTATGTCCATTGGACTTCAAATTTTGATCCAATTCAATTCTGAATTGAATTGGATCAAAATGTGAAGTCCATTGGACATAAATGACCATTATAACTAATTTGAGTCATTTTTGTTGAATGTTAAGAAGAAATCCCTCAGCTAGAAACGTCCCCAAGAAGAACTGAGCTTTGAGTGAGGTTGCACACTTCATGTATAGTGATGAGAAGAGTCTAGGAGCACTTATCCAAGACTGGAACTGTCATGTAAAGACTTGCATCATCTGAAATCGGCTTTGTCGTATGTACTATGTCACTGGACGCCAACACGGTTTTGGCTCAAGAACTTGAGAAAAGGTGCATGGGCCGTTGAATGTCGTTCGAGATCGTATCGACCGCTGCCTTTGCATAGGAGAGCCAGGTTCAGAGTTTCAACTGGTTATCAGCCGCAAGAGCTACAAGGAGACCATTGGTTGAAGAAACGAGACCATACACAGGGATAGAGACAAGCTTGTCAAACGAAACATTGGCATTGTGTTGAAACTTCTTTCGAACACTTGTTGTCTCGCGCTTTCGGGCGCGATCCATGCCACCGCGAGAAAGGTCGCGGCGAGGTCGTGGTCCACGGGGCGGTGACCCCAATAGACCAAGTCAACAGTCCCGCCGGGAGCGTGGACTCCCCACAGAGGACAGACCTAGAGAGCCTGAGAGAAGCACCCGACATCGTGAACGACGTGGTGAGCGTGAGCGTGATTGGGGGCGTGAGCGTGGTCGCGATAGTCGATCGCGAGTCAGGGAGGTATACCGGGCGCAGAGCCCGAGGCAGCCCAGGTTTCCTCCCCCTGGTGTTGTGGAGACCTGGGAAACCAGGCGGCTACCCAGACCTGCATCCGAATCGGAAGGTGAATCGGCGGTTGAAGAGCATCCAAGATCCAGTCGACGACGGAGGTCACAGACTCCGACTGAGCGTACTGAGAGATCTCGTTCGAGGCCGCAGCAGCGTGGTCGTTGGCAGAAGTGTTGGGTGTGGGTGCCTGAGGGCGGCTTGAGCCCAGTGCGAGACGACAGTAGAGATCAAGAAGGCGATTCAGGAGACGACGAGGTTCCCGAGGAGGAGGTAGAGCTTGAAGGTGAGAGCGTTGATACAGTGACAGGTGAACCTCGTGAACATCGTGCGGCAGCTGTTGACATTGCTCCTGAGGTTCCTGGAGGTTCGCCCGAGGTTGCATCAGGTGTTGGCTTCTCGGCGACCGAAGATTCGATCGCGAGGCAAGCCACCGAAGAGGCTACTGAGCATTCTGCGTCTGTTGAACCGGAGAGCCTCCGAGAGAGGGCTCGAGAGCTTCGATCTAGGTCAGCCCGACCTACGGCCAGCAAACCGTCGCCATCAGTCAGTGAAGAGCCGGTTGAGGAGAGACCACCTGTTGAGAAGAGAGTCAAGCCACCTCCACAGGCTACTTCAGCCAAAGCCAAGACGAAGAAGGAACCGAACGAGACTGGTGACATTGAGCGTGAGGAGTCGGCAGTTGGTGCATTGCGTCGTGCCATTGGTCGTGATTCATCGCGCCAGCGCGAGGGTGAGGGCTCCTCCGGATCCGGGTTGAAGCGTGCTGTTGAAGAGCTCCACCTCCCGCTCCCACAAAGCAGGAGATCGAGCAGGCCGAAGCTGCACGAAGATTGGAGATAGAGAGCCTGCCGCCTCCACCTCCGGTGCCTCGCGCGCCGCCAGTTCCGGCGACTACAAGGGCCTCATCGAAGCCGCGGTTGACGGAGGAAATTCAGCCCGTGGTGCTTGCTCCGAGGCCGAAGGAAAGGCCAGCTCAGCCTGAGCAGCTGGCGCCATCCCCGTCAGCTCGGCCACCTGAGCCACGTGGAGCGCCGCCGATCTGGCAGGACAAACCCCTTGTCCTGTTGGATTTCCACAAAACTCTGAGCTTCCCGAACGTCGATCCGCCGATCGCAGAGGCCTCAGTCCAGACGTTGAAGGGGCTCAAGGAGAAGGGTTTTGCTGTGGGCGTGCTGAGCTTCGCTTCCAACAAGGCCACACAAGAAGGCGTGGCAGCTGGAATCGAGGAATTGGAGCGTCGGCTTGGTTGGTCGCTTGACGTGTTTGCGATCACACGCACGAAGTTCTCCACGGACGCTGAACAGGGGCCATCGATCACTGGTCACATTGGTTATATCCGTTAAATAATCCATACTAAAATCCAGTACCTCAACCCCACTAAATAGTACAAACCATTTTCCGAAACACACGTAATGGGTTTTGATCCGGCATTCCCAAAGAGTACCTTGGTCCAGAACTTCGGAAAAGAAAAGCTAGATAAATGATGATGTGACTGACTTGAAAGACTACATGTTAGGTCAGACGCAGGATTCTATAAAAGGATGTTTTTTTCCACTTGGAGGTCTCTGAGGGTCAAGCTCAGGATTATATTGTGTTTTGTGTTTCGCAGTCGTTCCTTGTGATCTTGTGTTTCGCGGTCATGCTCGCAGCATGCATGCCACAGACACGAGAGTGTTTCAATGAACCAAAATCTATTTATAAATGACTAATACGCCACACAAACTCTGCAGGTATCCCCCTTGAATGAGACACTATAAAATGTCGATCCTGTTCCCTTAAAAAATGCATTCGGACCATACATTTTATAGTCCCAAACTGGAGGGCCATCATAAAACTACGGTTTTGGAGCAGAGGCTCAGCACAATTTATAAAGGGCTTGTTCCTTAAAAAGTGGATCATATTTCAGAGGGTCGTCCAGTACAGACGGTTCACCAATACCACACGATCGAAAGATCCTGCAAAGGAAAAAAGTACGGCTTTTTTTGCGCATAAATTCACGAGCTAGGGTCAATGACAGCATTTCAGTAAGAACCAGAATTTTGTTTTATACACATGTCCCGACCTCAGTCCCAGGACTTTAGAAAACCCCTTGGTCCAGGAATTTAAAAGGCAAAAAACAAACATCATTTTTTTTGGGCGTCGTACCTTGGGCCACTAAAAAATAAGGAAATGACCTCAGTCCCGAAGGATTTTATAAAATAAAGTCCTGAGTTCGACGTTTGGGGATTATTCAACGGGTATATTGGTTGTAAAGCCAAGTTGGTTGCTCAGATTGGACCCATCATCTACGTGGACGACCAGGGATCACTTCTGAACGACGTCAGAACGATCCAGCAAAACGCTCCGATCGGCAGCAAGACCCACCTTGCGCGTGCTGCGACATATCCGAGCGAAGCCCTGGTACCGCTAGAGCGTTTGATCCGAACGTTTCCGAGGGCGAGTGAGCTACCCTCTGCCCGTGAACTTGGGCGCATCTTCAGTCAGTGATTGGAGAAGGAGAGAGTCGACCAGTGCATTGTTGATCGCATTTTGCGTCGGGTGAGCAGGCATTGGTTGGCTGGGCATTGCAACATTGGTCAATAAATCTGTCGGCTAGAAGCCAAGTGTCGGGTTGAGACTGGCGTTGCATCATCGTTGAGCATTGCAACATCGGTCAATAAATCTGTCGGCTAGAAGCCAAGTGTCGGGTTGAGACTGCCGTTGCATCATTGAGACATCGTGCATTGGTCAAACATTGGTTGAGTTGAAGACATCTCATTGGTTGGTGGTTGAACATTGTTCATTGTCGTTGACCAGAGCTCGTGCTACCTTCGCGTCTGACCCGCGTATCTACGCGGCCGACGCGACTCGTTGATCGCGCTTGCGCGACTCACT